CGACTTGTGGACTGTTCAACTGCAACACCCGCTGACTGCAGTGATAGAGCTTGGAATAGCCATTAGCCAGGACAATTTTTAATATAACTCCAACTGGATTCATCTGAAAGATGATACACCTCATATACACCTAGGATGCTTCGAGGGTGAGTAAAACACAAGCCAATTTTAATTTTTGGGTGAACTAACCCTTTAAGAGTGTACACCAAGTTTAAAGAAGTGCACAAATTGAATGTAGTTTAAGTTTTATCTGGTTTGGCACCATCCAACAGCTCCAGTACTTGGCTGCAGCTGTTCGCCCAGATGCTTAATAACAACTGCTTTCTATTCCTCAGGACTGCATAAATGCGTTTGAACCTTATGTGACACTGTCCAGCAATCTCTGATCAACAGACTGATCAGTACATCGTGGAGGCTTCTCAATTATATATTTATATGGTCAAGTATATGTCTTTAATTATAGCTGTACTTCAGGGTTATTATTATATAATTTACTTAGTTAGCCCTAAAGATGAATCTAAATGTATTTATAGAAAATAAATATGTCTGCTTGAAAGAATGAAGAATATGGTAAACAAGTTGTAATAAAGAATGAACTATAATACGTAATAAACGTAATAAAGAACTAAAACTAAATCAAAATTTGCTGTCAAAATTAACACTGCCATTTTCTAAACTATAGTGAATAAACTGATAATGTGAGAAATGTTTAAGGTGTCTGAATAAATATTGGGTTGACTTAACAGTATATCAATGATACTTCTGTGATATCAATGACACCAAAGTCCCTTTATTAAGGCAAGTCATGTCACTCAATCAAAAACAATCCAAAAGTATTGTTTAGTGTAAAACATCTTGAAGATTAGCAGATAGGCTGTCGATTCATTAAATAAGCCGTTTCCTCTAAAAAGCTGTTTATTCAGCGTAGTGAAGCCTCTCCTCCACTGACATCCATTCAAAAAAAAACTGCCTCTGGTCTCCTTTCCCACGTACTGCCAGACCGGAAGCGTTAGCTTTAGCCATTACGCTTTTTCGGCTAATGGTTGCAGGCTTGCCTTCTAGTGGCTTTGTTCTAATGGCAGCTGCAGTGATGCGCTGTCTTTACCGATTAGGGATTGGCTCTTTTGCTCAGAAGGCGGGGCTTCATTCAATAGAGCGACCATATTGACCGTTGCATTTTTTCCCCCAAAACTATACGAGTGACATGTCTTGGGTATTCTATAGTCTTTGAAGATACTACTGCATTTCTGATGTGCTTCTTGCTTTCTGTATTAAACACTGGTCACTTTTATTCAGTCCTTTTTTTTTAATCTGTTTACATTTTTATTTGTACCTGTTAACCAGGACGAAAAGTGGTACTGTTGATGCAGCTCAACTTATGTCAAATGGTGAGGCAAAACACTTTACTCTAGTCCTGCGACGAGGGAAAACAAAGATAAGTTGCAGAATAGAGAGCAAGAGGGCATTGAAAAGAGGGACGGGCAGGTTTGA